GAAAATATTAATTTTATTTTTTTATTTAAAGATATATTAAATAGTTAAAGATGTGAATTTTGATAGGTTAGTATTACTATTTATTTAATTTTTAAATAAAAAATAAAAAGTAACTATTTTATTTTAAAATTAACAAATTCATATTTTTAAATATAAAAAATAACAAATTTTATATCCTTACATGTGCCATTTCTCTTGGTCCCCGAATTACGTATATATAAAGGAATGATACCATCCTCGATCGGATGATGTGTGAATTCCTGAGGAGGACCAAATGAAGGATGCCATTAATTGTTTTGTATCCCTCTCCGGGAAGAAGCCACCTGGTCTCCATAGCAGAACTAGCAAAACTGATACAAACCCACCATTCTTTCTCTATCAACATCATCATCACCGACGCACCTTTCGAAACCAGCTCCACTACCTCCCCATACATTGCCTCTGTTTATACCGCAACCCCTTCCATCACCTTCCACCACTTCCCCACCACCTCCCCACCATCTCCCCACCATCCTTATCCCTACCGCATTATTTAATATATTATATAAATGATAATTAAATATTTTTTTAATTAAATAAAACTAGCAAGAACTACTATATGAAAAAAAATTTTAATTATTGTTTACATATTTATTAAATTTTTATCTAAAATTCATATTTAAAAAATTAAAAAATTAAATATTTTCTCATTTTAAATACCCTCATTTTAAATTTAATAGTCTTCTTTAACTTTTTAATTTTAATAACATTAATTATAAATAAAAATTTAATACATTATATAAATAATAATAAATTCTTTTTCCATATAAAAATACTCAATAAAAACCACGCACATATAAAGCTGTGCATATAAATTGTTAAGTTTCCAATAAAATTCACGTCCAAAGAGTAATCTCTTGTCCTTGCCTTGGACCACATGGATGCCTTCAACTGTGCCCCCACAAAACTATCTTCACAATTATCTCTTCAGAAATTTGAATTGCGGTTGGAACTTGGAACAGTAGTAGTGAAATTAGACTGGTTGCTCAAACAGTAGCAGAGTTAAGTAGATAAAGAATGATAACATATCCTTGTATAAAAGCTGAGGAGGAACAAAAATGGCGGACACCATTGTTTCAAAAATGGTGGACACCATTGTTTTGTACCCCACGCAAGGACGAGGTCATCTTGTTTCCATGGTAGAACTTGCCAAGCTCATACTAACCCACCACCCTTCGTTCTCTGTCACCATTATCAGCTATGAAGCACCTTACGAAACCGGGTGCACAGCCCCTTACATCGCTACCGTCTCCTCCACAAACCCTTCCATCATTTTCTACCACCTCCCCACCGTCCCCATCCCCACCAACAATACATCCTCCTCAATCTTGGATATCAAAACTCTATCCTTCGAGTGGCATACTGTAAACAACCCGAATTACCACCAAGCACTAGTATCCATTTCCCGATCGGCCAACATTAAGGCCGTCATCATGGATTTCTTCTGCAACTATTCCTTTGACGTCTCCACGGGTCTTGGCATCCCCACATACTACTTCATCACCGGTGGCCTTACTGCATTCACTGCCTTCCTTTACTTTCCTACCCTCCATAAGAACCTAACTAGAAATTTCAAAGACCTCAATGAGATTATCAATATTCCGGGCATGCCACCTATCTTAGCAAAAAACATGCCAGCTCCCATGCTCGATCGTTCTAAAAAAGTTTACCAGTATTTCTTAGAGACTGCACTCCAAATGCCCAAATCGGCGGGGATTGTGGTTAACTCCATTGAAACACTGGAGAAGAGAGCTCTGAAGGCAATACTTAATGGAGAATGCACCCCAGGTGAGCCTGCTCCTGTAATTTATTGTTTAGGGCCGCTGGTGGCTACTGATGGAAGCAATGAAGGAGGAACTAAGCACGAGTGCTTGACCTGGCTTGACTCACAACCGAGTCGAAGCGTCGTGTTTTTAAGTTTTGGTAGCCTGGGGAAGTTCTCCGCAAAGCAGCTGAAAGAAATGGCGGTTGGGTTAGAGAGAAGTGGTGTAAGGTTCTTGTGGGTTGTGCGCGCCCCTCCGCCGGATGAAAACGTGGCCGCCGTGGCCGAGCCGAGCTTAGAGTCGTTGTTGCCGGAAGGATTCCTTGAGAGGAATAGAGCCAGGGGGTTAGTTTTGAAAGGGTGGGCTCCACAGGTGGAAGTGCTGAGTCATGACTCGGTGGGTGGCTTCATTACACACTGTGGGTGGAACTCGGCGCTTGAGTCGTTGCGCGCGGGGGTGCCGATGTTGGGTTGGGCGTTATATGAGGAGCAGAATATATATCAGTTGGCAATAGAGGAGGAGCTGAAGGTGGGTTTGGCCCTGAGGAAGAGGGAAGATGGGTCAGTGAGTGCGGCGGAATTGGAGAATGGAGTGACCGAGTTGATGAACTCAGAGAGGGGAAAAGCCATCAGGGAGCGCGTGATGGCGGTGAGAGAGACGGTGCTAGGGGCATTTTGTGATGGTGGGCCCTCTCAAGCTGCCTTAGCCCGGTTCGTTGAGGCAATTAGACGTGTTTGACTTCAATGAAAGTTTGATAAACTCTCATGTAGCATGAGCGTCGCCCATGGGTTGGTGGAAGCAATATTATTTATTATT